GTAGTATATATATATATATATATCTAATAAATAAACAATGTAATACTTATTATTTCTATATATTCTATATATATATATATATATTGGAAGAAATAATAAACTTAAATAATCATCCATGCAATCCGATCAAACAATGTGTATATATACACACACATATATATTATTAAATAGTTTAAGATCAATAAGTTGGATCGATAAGTTGGAAATTATCAAATATCAATCTTTAAATTCTTTGTAAATTTTGTAATTTTATATATATATATATGTATGTAATTGTCTAATAATAAATAGTTGATTAGAAATATGATTCAAAATTATAATATATGTATAATTCTCTAGATATGTTATTTTTTTAATTGACAAATTTTCATTTTTATTCGCTTTGGAACTGATTTTTCTAGAGTGACATAATAAGAGTATGTAGATAAGATTGAATAAAAGAATAATATCTTTGTTCTTGTTGTTTCTCTGATAAAATGGAAAATAGAACTTACCTGCAAAGTATAGACATAAACATGAGTTACACTCCGAAATTATTACAAACTCGCCGCGAACGTCAACATCATTGGCCACCACTCGGACGTGCAGAAAAAGAATAATAGTAGTATGCAATTTATTAATACTGCTAATGTTTCCTTTTTAATTTTAATATACGCGTATTTATTATTATATTGATACCCGAGAGGTCTAACCAAAAACACTACCGTGTTTACATCAATCAATTTTATCGACCCAGCGGATAAATCAGGCCGATAAATCAGGGTCACTGCAGGACCCAGCGAACATTGATTGGCTAGATTCAATAACCCTGACTTCAGTCTGATAATCCGCTGGGTCGATAAGATTAATAATGACATCTCGTGACAGACGTTGCAGCCGTACAAAGGCGACGATAATGACGTTTCTTAAAGTAAAAATTTCCAAATCAGATTTTGTGTAGCAATATCTCTGCTTGTAGAGCACGTAGCAGAAAAATAAAAATACTTTTATTATGCAAGTCAGACTCAAGCTATCGATCAAGCCTACTTAGAACTTGATCAATATAACCGTTATTGAGATTTGATAATGTCAGATGCTCGAACCTCGACGATTCGCGTAAAGTCACACGGTGTTCTCGGTTGACTTGACACTCGAGACACTACTGTGTCTCCTGATATTATTAATTTAATTATATTAATTAATATTATAGACGAATTAACTTTAAATATCACATATATTATTTAATGTTCTAAGAATACCGTTGCTTTCAAGGAAGTATGCAATTTACAATATATGCAATCATATATTTATTTATAAGCTATTATATGTTTTTTATACCAATTGATTTATCTCATTATTCTATAAATAAAAATATTAAGATAGATAATTAGTTAAAGACTAATAGTTTATGAGATATTTTAAGTTTTATATCAAAATATGTCATAATGAAATATAAAATATCTCGTAAATTATTGATTATTTGATCACATTACGCGTACATAAAAATATTAAATAATATTTTCATGCCATTATCGTCACTACTTTTAATTATGCTCAATATTCTATAATTTGATTTGGTTCTTTATTTTCATCAATATACTCATGTAAAGTTGAATAAATTAGCAGGAATTAAAATGAAACTAGTTGTTTTCGACATAGAGTGAAATGCAGAATGAAAATTTTAATTCTTAATGTAATGATCTATTTGCATGTAAATATGTCAAGTAATAGAACTATATTTTATCTACAGTTTTACATATATTGCTAATTGCAATCATGCCGAAATAAAAACAATATAACCATAAGTACCGGCGAGGAATTTCGCAACACGTGATACAGGAAACATGATACAGAACAATCTTCAAGCATAAAAACAACGAAATGGCATATTCGGTCGAAAATTGCGATAGATGTCTTCTAGTAAATGGACGACGAAATGAATGCTATCTCGGAAATCGCATTAGATGAAATTATCCAACACAACATACAAGAGGAAATTATATCGGAAATCTTACAGGAAGCAATAATCAGAGACAAATTTATATCACTCGAATATGATAATAATTCTTCATCAGAATCAGATGATGGACATAATGGTATGAATATTGATCGATTGCAAAAAAATCTCGTGAAATGGAGCCATGTTCCATAACATTTGTAAATCCGCCGTGACCAGTCTATTGCAAGTTTTGAGAAAAGAAAATGCTATGCAGTCTCTTCCATCAGACGCCCGAACGCTCTTAAAAATTCCAAGGAAAACAATAACTATCTCAATGGAACATGGTCAATATGCTCATTTGATATTGGTGAAGACTTACATCATATTATGGAAACAAGTACTGTTATTAGGTGTACAAAAAAGTTCTGAGCTTTTTTTGTAAAATTCAATCTTTGTTCAAAAACAAACAAAAAAATATTAATCAGCGAAATATTCCCCGTTTGCATCAACGACCTTTTACCATCTTTCGGATAGCTTACGAATTCCTTGACGATAGAAGCTCACCAGCTTCGAAGCGATAAAGTCATTAATGCATTTTCGTATCTCTTCAAATCTCGAAATGTGTATCAGCCAAATGATACTGCAGCGATCGGAATAGGTAGTAATCGGAAGGCGCCATGTCTGGGCTATACGCCGCGTGCGGGAGAAGTTCCCAGCCTAACGCAAAGATATGGTCCTGAGTCGCTTTCGCAACATGTGATCGAGCATTGTCATGAAGCAAGATCATTTTACGACGTTCTTGGCCAGTAAATGGCCTCTTTTCTTCTAATGCATCGCTCAAATTGATCAATTGTTGTTGGTAGCGGTCTGCCGTGATTGTTTCACCCGGTTGTAATAACTCGTAATACAACACACTTTTCCAATCCCACCAGATACAGAGCAAAATCTTCTTGGCATGGATATTGGGCTTTGGCGTCGATGTCGAAGGTTGATCAAAGTCAACCCATGTTTTCTACGTTTAGATTTTCTACGTTTAGGGTTATCATAAAGAATCCACTTTTCATCGGCTGTAATGATTTTGTGCAGAAAATCTTTTTTTCGGAAAGCAAAGTGAGTGCAGTGTCATGCCTACGATTTTTGTCTTCGGACAATTCATGCGGAACCCATCTGCCTTCCTTCTGAACCTTTCCCATCGTATGTAAACGTACGGAAATGGTTTGCTGCGTAACGCCAAGTTCTGCAAGCTTCTTTTCAGTTTGCGCAGAGTTTATATCCAGCAGTGCTTGCAATTCGTCCGTTTCAATCTTTTGAGGGCGTCCAGCACGCGGTTCATCTTTAAGACTGAAATCTCCTTGGCGAAATTTTTAATACCATCTTTTACATGTAGTATGACTTACAGCGTTCTCTCCATATGCAGCACAAATCATTGCAGTGGCTTCAGCAGCATTTTTCTTCAGATGAAACGCAAAGTGGATGGAAAATCAAATGCTCTTTTGTTATTGTCGTGAACACTACTGATTTTTGAGGTTATGTGCATCAAATGCCAAACCGTGGCATTTTAGAAGGCCAAATGTCAACGCTTTAAAGCTGCAAAAGTGCGGGAAGATATATAAAATTTAAATTGTTATTTCGGTTGTATGAAATCTAAAGCTCAGAACTTTTTTGTACACCTAATACATTCCTGATGAAATTCATTTATCCATCAACATTGATGGACTACCACTTATCAAAAGTTCTGAGAATTAATTCTGACCAATTCTTGGAAGTTTTCGAAATTTTCAAAACAAGACCACACCATTTCTCATTAGTGCCTTTCATAGATATCGAAAACTTCCAGTTGCTGCAATATTTTTACAGTACTTTATTGAAGAAGCAAAAGACCTTATACAGAATGGCTATATTTATAAAAATATTAACAGAAAAGTCATTATTGATTGTTTTATATGTGATGCTCCTGTAAAAGCGTATATTTGCTGCATTAAAAGTCATGGAGGATATTATGCATGTAGCAAGTGTAAAACCAAAAGCATCTATAAAAAAGGAAAAGTAATATATCCAGAATGAACGCTTCATTACGAACAGCAGAATCATTTGCGATGCAATCTGAAGAGCATCATATTGGAATAAGTCCCTTATTAAATCTTAATATTGATATGGTTTCACAAGTGCCATATGATCATATGCACTTAATGATATTAGGCCAAGTAAAAAAATGTTGAAAATTTTGACTGGGAAACTAAAACTGAAATTGAGTGCACAACAAGTTTTGGAAATTTCCAAACAACAGCTCGAACTTAGAAAGTATGTTCCGAATGATTTTGTCCAAAAACCAAGAGCTTTGGACGAGCTTGATCGCATGAAAGCTACTGAATATCGCGAATTTCTGTTATATATTGGACAATCATATTGCACAAGATAATAAAGTATACAATCTGATGTACATAATCATTTTGTAAAACTATCAGTGGCTATACGTCTTCTAGCAACTCCTAATATTGATGTCAAGCAAAATAGATATTCGAAAGGTTTGTTAGAACAAACAATATTTTGCTGAGTTTCTGCGGTTGTATGGAGTGCATAATGCAACATATAATACGCATGGATTATTACACTTGGCTGATGATGCATTGCAGTGAGGAGCACTTGATGAATTTTCTGCATTTATTTTCGAAAACTATTTATAACACATAAAAAAATTGATCAAAGGTAGTGATAAACCTCTTGAGCAATTAAGTAATTATTTACATGAAATCAGAAATAGCTACTGTAATGAATCCGTCAAAGATGCCATTCAGACATATAAATTAGGAAGAGAATATTATGATGGAAATTTGATTGATGGATGTACGTCGCCCATGTACAAGAACATTCAGTTCAAAAATTTTAAAATCACAATAAAACGATCAAATAACTACTGTATCATGGCAGACGAAAGTGTTGTAATGATTGAAACTACTTGCCATCGCAATAATTCCATAGCAGTTATTAGCAAAATGTTAAAAAATGGAAAACCATTTTTTCATATACTAGCACTAGCGACATGTTTTGGTATTATTCAATTTTCTAGCGAATATAGCTTGCAAGCGTTTTCAATTGAAAATATTAGAAATAAAGATGTAATTCTTCCGATTTTTTATGTATTCAATCAATCTGAAGACCATCACAAAAATATTGTCGTCTTTCCATTCATCCATGGACAATAACTATTTGCACATAACTCCAAGCATGTCTTCCACATTTTATATCGTTCTCTTTATTGAAGAGGACTTTATGGAGGTTGTTCCTGATTTTTGGACATTTAAATCATCAGGGACACATTATTGCTCATGGTCTCTAAATAAGACTTTTCCGACGAAGTACGTAGCAAATAGAATTGTGCCAGATGAGGAATGGTCATTCTACAAATGCAGAATACTCATTCGTTTGGTATGTAGCACGTGCACACGCGCACACGCATGCACACATAATGTATTTACAATCGAAGTTCTATTTAGTAAGGTTCAACTAATTGCTTAATTTCAACTTTTCTCGTAATTTATTTCAACTTACAATACTTTTATAAGATAAAAAGCAGAATGTATATTTATATATTTTTTATCACAAAACGAATATAGAACAAAATCTTTTTCAGGTGATTATAAAACAGCTCGGCGGCATTTAGGACAAGCAGAAATTACATTTGATTTCTCTAGTGTATCAGAGGTTGCAGATAAAAGAATTCATAAACCTAATAGGAAATATGTTTCCGATTCATCCGATACATCTGAAGATAACAGTACAAAATATAAAAATAAAAGCTCTTTAAAAAAATAAGATACCACAATCTATGTCAAAAGAACATAGATTACATAGATTCAGAGATAAAGATAGATTTATCGAAAGCTTTACAAGAGAAATCAAAGCGAATTCTTGATATCAACCAAAAACTTGTCTCGATGCCATCAAGATCAAATAATTTTATACATTCACGATCATCTCTTAATGTCAATAAGACTATTGACCAATTTAAAGAAGATTATTTTCCGTTTCCTGTGACATTTTTTAAATTTTATTCAATTTTTGTAAAATTATATTCTTTTACATATTTCAGATGTCACTTCATAAGGAGAATGCAGTACGGGAGACACGATAGTGCAAATAAATCAATCGATCAATCAACTTACTGAACAAACTCAGATGCAATTAACTGAAAAAAGAATTGAAAAATCACGATATGGTGGAGAGACAGGTATAATATTTTGTTGTTAAAATAATAAACATTATTGATAACTTCGTAAGTTTTATATTTTGTACATTTTTTAACAGAATTTGAGAAACAAGTCATTAGAGATCTGACAATGATCAAATTTGATATGCGAGCAATTCTGGAAATAGTAACAACATTGAGTCAGATCTGGACTGAGAAAAATGGAGAAATTAATCTTGAGGTAGCAAGAGGCGAAGAAAATATTTTGTCAACTTTTTCCTTTGCAAAATTGGCAAAGTTTCCTTAAATTGGAAAATTTATTACAAATTAAAGATATCGCACGCGCACAACTCGTAAGTTTAACTACGTATTATTATTATTATAGATGTCTATATTTACCAACTACATGGTTAATGTGATATTAAACCTATTATTATAATAAGTACAATTAAAAGTTAATCTCCTCCTAATTTCTCCTAATTTTCAACCCACTAGAATACATATTACAAATAAACATAAATAATTTCATTTTTATAATCAATATAATAAATCTGAAAGCATTAAAGAACCGAATAATAGGATGGTACTACTCGAAAGACAAGATTTTAGGTACCTCATTTTTTTTCACTTTATGTATATATAAATTCAGAACGCGATTACTTATATGACCACATGTCGTTATTTTTAACCGACTTGCAACGTAACAATACAAGCTATAGACGAATTTTAATAAATTGATTATCAAATTTGACATTGATTAACTCCCTAGAAGATAGATTCTTATTGTGAAAAATATCACTTTAATCAGGAATCGAATCAGGATCGCCCGCCTTGCGTTCCGGGCGCCCAGGCAATCTAAGTTCGATTCTTGAGTGAGATGATTTTTCGCAATAAAAATATCTTGTAGGAAGAATCGATCTCGAATTTGATTATCGATTTATTAAAAGAGATTAAAATTCGTCCATACCTTATACTACTACATTGCAAATCCGTTAAAAATAATTGCATGTGGTTCTTAATTTAAGCAATCCTAAATTTATGTGTGTATGTGTATGTGTGTACAAATTTAATAGAAAACAGATTATTAGACATCTAAAATCTTGTCTTCCGAGTAATGTTATTTATTATTAATGCTATTTATTAGAAAATGTATTTTATAACCGCGGAGGAAAAATTCCGGCCGAGTTAATACGACGCATACTGCTACATGTTTTCACTCCTGGTTTAGCTCTTCAAATTTCGTGGCTAGGAAGAAAGAAGAATCAAAGGTTAGGAACTCATTTCGCCCATATATTATTTAGTAAATATGGAATGTTTATAAATGTTATAAATATGAAGTTTTAGAATTCTGTAGTACGTAAAGAAATGATTCTTCTTACAGATAGATATAAGATGTACTCTTTTTTATAAGGAAAATTTTAATTTTATATATTTGTATAAATATTTGTTTATTAATAATAATAAGTAAATAAATGAACTCTATCATTCCAGATTTGTCCAGATTTATATAAGATAGAAAATTATATTTGAAATCTGCAATTCTATATTGTAAATCTGTTCAAAATACAGATTTCTGTTCTAAATAAGTCTGGAATTTTTTATAGTGCATTTACTTATTATTGATAAACACACCGAAGTACAATCAACATTTCGCTTTAAAAAAAGAATCTATCTTTATATTTGTAAGAAAACTCATTGTTTTATTATGTTATTTATTATATGTTATTTATTATATTAGGTATTGTGTATATCAGGGGTCGGCAAGTGAGCACTGCTCGCGGGCGCTCAATGCCCGCAGGCAACAGTCGAGCGCGCTGGGGCTAGAGTTAAGCGGCTAGACGCAATAAAGTGAGGAGAGGGATAGCAGGAACGTCTGTTCATTGAACGTGCTATTCAAGGAGTAAAAAAATATTGTGTTGCACAAATTCAGACCCAGAATTAGCATGATTAGTAACTATCTATATTTTAAATAAACCATTCTTACAATAATATTAAATAAGCAACTCTTATAACATTTAATCAATATTTGATTCATATTCGGTTTTCCGATATTATATACGATATATCAGGTGTTATCGTTTTGGCACAACTTAAACGAATTATTGCATTTAAATGTGAATTTGTTAACTGTTCGCGTAATCGCGATTTATTTAATTTCATAATAGAAAATAATTGTTCACATGAATATGTAGAACCAAACATACTCATTATTTTTGCAGCACGAGCATGTAGTCAAGAAAAACGTTCTTGAGATATATATGAATAAAATTATACGATGTCAGTAATTGTACCAAAACGATTTTTAAGAGCAGTGTCACATTTTAAATCTGTTAATTCTAATTGTATATCTGTGTGAACAATATTAATATCAACAATAAAAGATGTCATAAAAATAAGTAAATCTTCTTCTAAAACATTTCCTTAAACCGACAATCGAATTCATTATTAATTGAAGTAATAATTGAAGTGAATTTATATATTCTTCATATTGCTTATCTTGAATGTGCATGGCAACAGATAATAAATTTGAAAAATGCAACAACTGTCGAGATTGAAATTGATTGATCCATAAATTAAGTTTGATTTTAAAAGATCTAATTTGATCAAATATATATGAATAATTAATTTATCTTTGCCTTGTAGATAGTAATTTAATGTATTTAAATGATTAGTGATATCCGCAAAAAAGGCGATCCAAGAAGGCTGTGATAGTTCAGGCACAGACTTATCTTTCATTTCTAAAAATATAATTATTTCTTCGCGTAAATGAAAGAAACGCTGAAGAGTTTTACCTCGACTAAGCCATCGTGTTTTGCAAAAATAGGAGATGTCGGTATAATCTGACTCTAAAGAAGATAAAAATTCGCGAAATTGACGATGATTCAATCCAGTAGTTCTAATAAAATTTACAACTTTGTTACAATTTTCACATTACTTCGTCATACTTTAAAGATTTTGTACATAATGCCTCTTGATACAATGGATCAAATGTATTTCTTGTTTTGATTGTGCTAGTTTAGACTTTAAACGTCCTATGAAGCCCATATTGTGTCCAATCATTACTGCAGCACCATCAATAGCAACTTAATTTAAGAAGTTAATTTATCCCAAGATAGATTTATGTTTTCTATTGCTTCTTCAATGCTAAACAATATATCTTCTCCAGTCGTAGTACTTTTCAGAGGTGTTATATTTAAAAGTTCTCAGAAATAGAGAGATTGCTATCCACACCACGAATAAAAATTGCCAATTGTGCAGTATCAACGATTCAGTACTCTCGTCGAGAGCTAATGAAAAAGCAATAAAATTGTGCTTTAAAATTTTGCTTTTAGTACCAATTGTCGCTCGAGATCTTCAACTAATTTTTCAATGCGACGTACTACAGTTCGAGAAGAGAGACTAATTGATTTAAATTTATTAATATCATTAGGATATATTGTTTCTGTGACAATTTCTAAACATTGTTTGACAACTGGACCAATGCTATGGACGTGATTCACGTGCAATAAAATGAGCAATTTTGTAACTGGCATACAATGCAGGCTTATTTAATTCCGATTCTTCTTCCTGTATTAGAATAATATCTTTATTAAATATAATGTACCTGATAAAAATTTTTATGTAAAAACATATATATATATATATATATATATATATATATATTATATATATTATACATTTATATATATAGTATATATATATATATATATATATATATATATATATATATATATATATATATACATATATTATGTTCTTAATGACGAAACATTTTTTACGGGTATAATTAAATATAATGAATTAAATTAAAACTGACTACAGTAAAAAACGCATATTTTTATATTATAATAGTATGTATATTATGAAAATTACTTTATTGTTGGAAACAGATTTTAAATCGTGCAAAAGTTAAATTCGCTCCGATCCTTCTATCTTGTCATAAGTGGCTCCATGTTTTATGTTATAATGTTTTCCGACATTATATTTCTTTGAATTCATAATGGTTCCACAGATCAAACATTGCGCTTGATTATCATGCTTCATTATGAACCACTTCTCTTCCCATGAAGAACTGTCCGAACTTGAACTTAAGATTCTTTTCTTTTGATTATCCATTACAAACGTTAAATTATAAGATTGCAAATGTGTCTGACTGTTCTAGACAAGAGACAATTTGATTATACTCTTGCTTAGTTATTGTTTTTCTTTTATTTTGAGCGTTTAACAGATTAATATTAGCAGATGTTTATTTTGAAATTGTTGGAAATTTATTTGAAATTGTTTTTCTTCGCAGAAAAAGGATTATTCTTCTGGATTTAAAAATATAATTTTAAAGCGCTAAGTTAAACGTGATATATGTATTCATAATTTTATGGTTGTATTGTAAGTTTATATTTTAATACATTGTTATTGTTTATATTATTGTTTAATTTTCTTTGTTATATTTAAATTTTCGTTAAACATATTTAAATGTATTAATTATATAATTTTTAATTTTGCAGCACAAATTTTGACAACTTACAATATTTAAAAATAGAGATAAGCATTTTAATTAAAATTTTCTTATAATGAATGCTTATTATTATTATTATTATTATTAGGACAATCAAAACATGCTAGAGCATATTTCTTTATATGACTAATAAAAAAATTAACTAGATATAAGTTGAATTCATAAGAATTTATGCATTTTAAATCTTATATATATTACAATATTTGCATATTTCATCTTTAAATGGTTTTTTATAACAGCTAAACTGTTATAAAAAAATTTTATGATGTTACAAAGATTCAAGTACTAGTAGTTTAAGACTACACTATCGTTCATATATATACGCAACGCTATTTTTGTAAGTGTGAAATGCGCAACTTTATCCCAAGGTACTAAAAATGTTAGATACGCTCCTGAGATGTGCACACAGGCGAGCGCTCGCGAGCGGGCGCCCGTGCTCAAGTGTTTCAGCGTTTTGCCGATCCCTGGTGTATATGATACATGAATTTTCATACTTTCAAAAGTAGCAACATATATACATAGAGTATTCAAAAATTATTTTGACATTTCTTGTAGATACGTAGAGCAAATTAAATTGAATAGGAAAACTCTACCGTTTTGCAAGTTTTGCAATCAATGAGCAGATAATTAATAAAGATCTGTGAATCAACATTCAGGTTGTGCACAGCCGCCATTTGTAAAGCATTCTATGTGGCTTCGCGACCGTGAAAGATAAGTAACAACTGTCTCTTGATGAGTGAGACTGTCTCTTCTCGTTGTGCGCTTATCCTTGCCATTAAATGCACGCTCATTCGCAGATATTTATTATTTTCTCATTAATTATTGCAAAAATAGTAAAACAGTAAACGACTTTCTTATTCGATTTAATCCGCTCTAATATGCTCACAAGCAGTATTACAATAATTTTATGACACTCCATATAATATAACAATTAATTATTTACTAGATGCTGTAAAAAGATAATACAAAAGAATTGATGATCATATGATTGAAAGCGTAATAATTGATTGGTTTTGGTGAGCATCGGACAGGATTCCGAAAGGCCGCAATGAAGAGTAACTTTTATCTTAATATATCATTATATTCCTACATTATTTATATTTCCTAATATATATTCTTATAATAATTCTTGTAATTACTAACATATATTTTGTAACAATTCTTGTAATAAATATATTTGTATGACTATATATTTCAAAAAGTACATCTTTTTTAATTAATATTTAAACTTAAATGAACTGAAATATTAATAAAAAGAAATGAAATTTTTCAAATTTTGAAATTATAAAAAAGTATTATGTATGTTATTGTAAGTAATTAATTTGTAAAGGTACAAACTTTCATTATTTTTAAATCTATTGGAAAATATATTTATAAAAATAATTAAAATTATTTAATTTTGAATATTTTTTATTTAACATTTTATTTGATAATTTACTAAAATAATATATTCCATGTGGAATATATTATTTTAGTATAATTTCATTTTACGTGCAACTTTTTAAAATTTTTCTTTTGATTATTGGACAGTAATACATATTTATTAGAATTTTTCATTTCAAAGGTGAAATTTCTTATTTAAAATGCTTGTTTATAAACTTATTATAATTCTTAAGGCGATATAACATTCGTTAAATTATTTTGTTGTCATTTACGGGCATAATACTATATTTTTCATAATACAAGAATTCAATTATATAAATCCAATTTTATTTTCTCGTTTTCGCGAATTTAATAATCTCCATTTTTTATGATATTTCTTGTTTATTAAACTCATATTTCACCGATTATGTTTCAGCCTTAGATTTTGATCTTCATAATATGTATACAAAAGTTACTTTTAAAATATTTATTATTTTAGTTAGTACAATGACATTAAAGTTTCATATATTGTATTCATACATAAAATGGCTTTTAATTAGTAAATTAGTATATTATAAATTAGTATATTGTATTAAAAATAAATATTAGTCAAAAATTCTATTCATCAAATGTAAGTATATTAATACATTGAATGAATAGCATTTCTGCTGAATATTTCTAGTACAAGTAATTATTAACTAAAAATCATATTTTATATATGAATACATTATATAAAAGTTTAATTAATTTAAGTTTTAATTTCAATGCAATGATTAAAATAATCTAAAATATCTAAAGATCATCTATACATTAGACTTGCAAAATGAGAAAATTAGATTAATATAGTTCTCGTGTTATAGAAAATATAGTTTATAAACAAGCATTTTAAATATAAAGTTTTATTTTTGGAATGAAAAATTCTTGAATAAATCCATTTTATATCCTGGATGGGTATAACGTCTATCCTACAACCTAAGAACGTCTAATAAACGTACAATAGATGTACACTATATGCACTAACGATGTCTATTAGACATCTTTAGGCGATATGTATATTATTTTGTACGTACAAAAAATGTCTACTGTAGTCTTCGGAACGTCTTTTGGACATCCATGTATGACGAATAGGACGTCTTATAGACGTCTATAGGACGTCCATGTGTTGCATGGGTATTGTACCTTCACAGTATGATGATTGTTTCTCGTTATTCTCATTTTCGTTCAATTCATAGACAGTGTGTGTTAAATCTTTTTTTTTCATTTGCTGCATATTTAATTTATTTAGTTCTTGATCTCTTGTAAATAGACAGGGTCTAAAGAAATAAAAGTAAATAAAAATTCTTGTGTAATACTTAAGAAAAATATGTAAAAAAACTAACCTCTAAATGTTCTTTTAGCCGATTCCCGATCAGTTTGAATTTTAAATGTAACATCTTCATTTATATAAACATTAAAATTTAATTTAAATCCATATCTTGAAAACGAATTATAAAAAGGTAAATAAAAAAATTATAATAAAAATAAAAATGAAAGAATCCTACTTTTGTTTTACAACTTCTCACGTCTTTTTTTTAGATTCCTAACCTAGAAACACTACAATCAGAGCTGGTCACGATTCTGATCCGCCAATCAGAGATTCTAATCCGCCATGTTTTGGCTAAATTCTACGAGAAAAAAAGAAATATACATCTCATTCTAATCAATACGTGTTTTGGTAGAGTGAAAAAAATATACACCATCTCACTTTAACCAATAGAGATATTTTTTACTTATTGAGCATGTGTATTAAACACATGTTCAATACACTTAAATCAATACACATGCAAAGCGTGATAATATATTATTAAATAATAGAGATACTAAAATTGCAAAATATAGTCATAAATTAATTAATTGTGATAAATCAATATAAAAAATCAATATAAAAATAGGTGGATGTTCATTTTTTATTAAATTTATTGTATGTAATAAAGTTTGTTTATAATAATAATAAATATGTATAATAATCTTTTCTAAAAAAGGCATGACATCGATATTTGCATCTTTCGAAATTTCCTCGAAGTTTATTGTTGATGCTTTTCCGCGATGGGAATTTCTCTTGCTGCGCTAACTTTGAAAAGCTGTCATCGTATTGATTTCACAGAGGATCGTTTTGACAATTGTGTATCAAAAAATTAAAAATATTATAGTGTAATAGTAATATTAGGTGTACAAAAAAGTTCTAAACTTTTTTTTGTAAAATTCAATTTTTATTCAAAAACAAACAAAAAAATATTAATCAGAGAAATATTCCCCGTTTGCATCAACGACCTTTTGCCATCTTTCGGGTAGCTTGCGAATTCCTTGACGATAGAATCTCACCGGCTTCGAAGCAATAAAGTCATCAATGCATTTTCGTATCTCGTCAAAATCTCACGAAATGTGTATCAGCCAAATGATGCTGCAGCGACCGGAATAGGTAATAATCAGAAGGCGCCATGTCTGGGCTATACGCCGCGTGCGGGAGAAGTTCCCAGCCTAATGCAAAGATATGGTCCTGAGTCGCTTTCGCAACATGTGGTGCGAGCATTGTCATGAAGCAAAATCACTTTACGACGTCCTTGGTCAGTAAATGGCCTCTTTTCTTCTGATGCATCGTTCAAATTGGTCAATTGTTGTTGGTAGTGGTCTGCAGTGATTGTTT